TCGGGAGTGAGGGGCACCGGCAGAGCTGGGGCGGGGGCAGGGGCTGCGGGTCGGGAGTGAGGGGCACCGGCAGAGCTGGGGGGGGCAGGGGCTGCGGGTCGGGAGTGAGGGGCACAGGCAGAGTTCCCCCTTTCTAACCGCCAGCCCACCCAATTCAGGTCAGCGGCGGCTGGAAGACGCCATCAAGCGCAGGAAGCAGCAGTGGCCGCGCCCCAAGTCCTGGGTTTATAAGGTTTGGATTCACCCCCTCCCCTATGGCCACAGGAACCCTGGTGTTCGGGGGCAGAAAACAGGCCCCCTCGTGCCAGCCAGGGGTACGTGGGGTGGAGGGCTGGGAGCCAGGACTCCTGGGTTCGCTGGCAATTAGGCAGTGTACACATGTCACTCTCTCTCTCTCTCTCTGTCAGATGATCGGTGGCCCGAGGACCCAGGAGCCGGGGGAGGGGCCCTCCCGCCCCCCACCTCCTCGCCCGGACTCGGACACCCCCCTGAAATGCCTAATCAGTGAATGGGACCTGCGCCTGCGGGAGCGGCTGGGCGACGGCTGCTTCGGGGTGGTGCACCGGGGGGAGTGGACCCCGCCCGGCGGGGGCACTGTGAGTTGTCTGGGGGCCTCGCGGGCGGTGGGGGGCTGCGGGCGGGGTCCGGCGTCTCCCAGGAATGGCCTGGGAATCTCACGCCGCGGAGTGGGGGGGACAGACCCAGAGCCGAGATCTGAAAATCATGAGATTGGCGCTGGTGATCACGTGATCATTTGAACCTCGGGATTTCCCAGGCGATGTCTGGCCGTGTCTTGTCCCCCCCCCCCCCAGCAAGGCCAGGGCCTCGCCCTGTTAGCCAGGGGCCCGGTGTGTCTCCCAGGGCCCGAATTGACCCCCACCTGTGCTCCGGGGGCCTGAAGACAGGGTGGCGGGCAAGGCAGAGAGGGGAGTTGGAAAGGGGGGACAGATGGAAGGAGCGTGGAGAAGGATGGATGGATGGAAGGGGGAAGGGAGGATGGAGGGATGTGGGGCTGGAGGGGTGGGGGGAGGGGCTGTGGGGCTGGACCCACCTGTTGCCCCCTCTTCCGGCTGTTGCTTCCCTTTCTTCTCCCCCCTCCACTTCTCCATTTGTCCTCCCCTCCGGCCCCCCACCCCCACAGATCCTCCACCCCCCCCCAGGAACTGACCCCCGCCCTGCCCCCCCGCCCAGCTCTCCGTGGCGGTGAAATCCCTCCGCTCCGACGTCAGCACCGACCCCCTCGCGCTGGTTGATTTCCTCAACGAGGTGAACACCATGAGCACCCTGGACCATCCCCACCTCCTGCGGCTCCACGGGGTCGTCCTCAGCCAGCCCCTCAAGATGGTGAGCAGGGCCCAGACGCCTGGGTTCCCTCGCCGACTCCGGGAGTGGAGTGCGGGCTGGTGGGTTAGAGCAGGGGGGGCTGGGAGCCAGGACTCCTGGGTTCTCTCCCTGGCTCTGGGAGGGGAGTGGGGGCTGGTGGGTTAGAGCAGGGGAGGGCTGGGAGCCAGGAGTCCTGGGTTCTCTCCCTGGCTCTGGGAGGGGAGTGGGGGCTGGTGGGTTAGAGCAGGGGAGGGCTGGGAGCCAGGAGTCCTGGGTTCTCTCCCTGGCTCTGGGAGGGGAGTGGGGGCTGGTGGGTTAGAGCAGGGG